TTGTTAAATTTGTCTTTGTTCATTCAGGGCTTCCGATTGGGAAATAACAGGATCTTCCTGATAGAAACACATCTGTCCACGCAGCAGATGATGTAGGAGGTGACCACTTCTGTATAATCATTTAGATCAGTGAAAGAATCTTTGAATACACACCAATCAGTCATTTAGGGCGGAGCGGTGGCTCTCTGGCTAAGGATCTGCGCCTGTGACTGGAAGGTTGCTGGTTCAAATCCCACAGCTGGCAGAGGAATCTTACTCTGTTGGGCCCCTGAGCAAGGCCCTTAACCCTTACTGCTCCAGGGGTGCTGTACAATGGCTGACCCTGCACTCTGACCCCAAGCTTCTTTCTGTGTCTGTGTCTCCATGGAGAAAAGCTGGGGTATGCAAAAAGATGAATTCCTAATGCAAGATAGGGCTAATAAAGAAACATTATTATTTCAAAACGAGTTCTTGCTCAGCAGCGTCTGACCAGCACTACAAGATCTCTACTGCAGGTGGCGCTTTGTCGTCACGCATATTTTTTTTGCATAAACGAGATGTAACATGAAAATAAACAATACACACGAGAGCTACATGAGAACAGGTCCACCTTGAATTCTACTCCAGCAGTAGTGTCTTATTCAGGGTCAGTACAACTCCCGTGCAGAAGGAAAAAGAGACAGCTGAGAGAGGTCATCAAAGTAATGTCCAAACCTTGTTGTGCTTGTTGAGCAGAACTGGGATAAAACATTTGTGCACAAATTTGACTCCCTTGTCCTAGAGAGTCACTGGTGGGGAGAAACGTGGTTTGCTCCCATTATAGAAGCTACTTTTAAGATAAGATCACTTTATTGGCCATATACAATTTCTTGCATTAGGAATTTGTCTTTTCACATACCCCAACTTGTTCTCCATCAGACACATGGAGACAGAGACAGGAAGAGAAGCATGGGGTCAGAGTGAAGGGTCAACCATTTATACAGCACCCCTGGAGCAGTTGGAGTTAAGGGCCTTGCTCAGGGGCCCAATGGAATAGGATTCCTCTGTTGGCCACAGGATGCAAACTGGTAACCTTCTAGCCACAGGCGTAGATTCTTAGCCACAGAGCCACTGCTCTACCACATACTTATGAATATTGGTATATTTAGATGTGTTGATGAAATCCCAATCATGTTGTTCCAGTGATTAAATGAATGAATGGTTATTAAATACCTGTTCACAAGGTCTGGCTGGAGGCAGAATTGTGTCCACTTCAGGCAAAAGCTTTCATCCCAGGATAACAGTAGTGGAAGGCATATGATATTGTCAGCTGGCTAAGTTTTGAATAGAGAGTAGAGGGAAGGGCAGTGCGTTGTAATCAGAGAAAATATGCTTATTGATTGGTCATGTTGCCATCATGTGGAGTGATTTTCCACACCCTACAGTGTCACGCCCCACACTCTCCCTCGCAAACGACGTTACATTCCCGGAACCTCTGCTTCTCAATCTCATCCCTGATTGAACCCAGCACATTCTCACATGCATCAGATTCCTCAAATTCTCACTCCCTAACCAATCATCCAATCACACCCCTTTCCTTTCAGTATTTAAACCCCCTTCGCACACCTTCCCACGCTCACTATTGAGAAGCCTTTCTTAGTATTCTCCAGTGTGCGTTTCCAAACCCTTCGACTGATCTCCCGTTACGAATCTTCTGCTTCCGCCCCTTGACCTCGCCTTCTGGATTTTGTCTTTTGAATTGTTTTTCAATATCTCTCGTTACCGGACCCTTTGCCTCCCTTATCGACCCAGCCTTTGGATTTTATCTTTTGGATTGTCCCTTTGCTACTCTGCGTCCTGTGGGATTCCGGTCACGCATAAGGATCTTCCTATTCCACGTATAGGTTTCCTGACATACAGGTTATTGATTGGTTGGTCACCTTTTGGGTAATTGACTGTGACCTGTAGCTTTAGTTCCACCATCCAGATATGGCTCTCTCCCATACGTCCAGGTGTCATGAGTGGACATCCATCAGGAAGCACTGGTTGTTTTAATGTGCAGGGATGTAACTTTTATTACAAAGGCTCTTCTCTCCTGCATCCCAGCACACAGGAATCAATAGCCTCACTAAAACTCCACAGCAACACTTAATTCTATGGTTTATTAATAAGCATTTCCACCATAACTGATACTCTTATTCCTTTGGATAGGAACAAGCCATTGAAACAAGGCAAAACTAAGGAATTAAGAACGGAAATTAAGTGATTGGTGTCATAAGGTCAACCTACAAAAATAAAAAAGAAGTGTATGTTAACTATGGCTCCTTTAAAGATGTTTTTACAACCTTGAAGTAAGATAAATAGAACAAAATAATTGACCTTGAGCAAGCAAACTGTGCAAAAGGCTTTTTTTTTTCAGACAAAATCAGAAGTTGTTTCACACAATCAAAAGTTGTGTGAAGTCAACATATAATTATGTTGATGACCATCAGCAATTTACCGAAAGCCACATTATTGTTTTAGTGTTTCACTGTGCTATGCATCAAAGTGGTGTTTTACTTTGCTATGTGCTAATATTCATTTGCAACTTTGCTATTAATATGCAGTAGAGTACTGTGGGTGATAAGCTTTATATAAAGTCTTGTAATAGCTAATCCATCACATTTGTCAATCAAGTCAAAATGACTCATCTTTAAAATAATTTGTTCTTCTGTACACATTTATAAAACTAAAAATATAATTTCAGTGTTCTGCATAAGTAACAAAATAGCTCAAATACTGATCTTGAACTATCACCTAAAACCTTAGAATACAATGACTAAAATTTCAGTAGAAGAACACCGTAGATTCATTTTTGTATAAAGAAACATTTTAAATTGTTGTTTTTTTTTGTTCAGTGTCAAAGACTTGTTGCAAAACAGTGTATATGTAGTAATTTTGGTGGAAATGCCTGGCCTGCCCTTAGCCTTCAGAAAAGCTTTGTAATGGGATATATTTACCATTCTTCAAGAAAATAAACCCCTAGTTCTTTGAAAGATGAAGGAGGTGGAGATGCTGGGGGGGGCAGTGGGAGGAATTTGAATTCATCCTGGTGTTCATGAAACCCCACCTGAATCTGTTTAGTACATTCTTGCTTTCTCCATATTTCTTTTTTCTTGTATCTATTTCATTCTTCTAGTCTAGGTAGAGTCTTCCTTATAACCCTCTCCATTAGGACAAAACTTTAACTTTCTCTTAGTCTAAACTTTACTTTTACTCTCAGCAGTGTATATGAGGCATTGCTGTCTTGGGATATGGGCATATCTTGAGGAAACAATGTTTGCACTGTAGGAAGCACATACTGCCTTGCAGAATAATTATCAGATCCAATGACTCCCACAAGATTGAAAGCTTCCATTGGCTTTCTCCAAACATAAACCCATCCGGATGTGGAAAAAAGAGTAAAAAAGGATTAATCAGACTATTATTTTCTTCCACTGTTCTTGAAACCAGGTGATGCACTGCTGAGGACTGGCCTTGGTTACAAGTGGTTTCTGAATGGTAACCTTACCATAAATATTAGATTTGTGAAGCTCGCAACGTATAGTTTTTATTGAGACTAGGGCACAGAGATGTAGATTCATTTCTGTGTTGATTTTTTTGGCCGTTGTTTTGTGGTTATTAGTAACTATCATGTTAAGTGTCAGTTTATCCCTGTTGGTGAGCTTTGACTTTCGATCAAAGCTCGAAGATACATGATGCTTGTCATGTGCTATCTTGATTTTTGACACAGATCAACATGACATGAAATATTTATGTTTTTGTGACTGATACACCTGCAGTTTGAGCACCAACTATTTGACCTCTTTGAAAACCTGTTAGATCTCTCGTGTTGCTTTAGAAACACACTTATTAAAATACTGAGTTTGAAGTAAACTTTTATATAAGAAACATATTTTAATTAATATGAAACAGATGTGTAGAATCACTTATAATTCCACCCTCTGTATAAAGCTACTGTATTTGCTTGTTATTTTTAATACATACCTCTAGTAACCATCTATTTAGCATGGAGTGGATCACAGACGTTTTACCCATTAAAATAATTCGCATGGAAAGTTTTGAACTAAAGGAAGAAGTAAGAAGATGTAAATAGCTTGAACTCATTTAATTCCATCCCAGCTATTTTGAAATTGCTTTAAAAATATAAGAGTGCCTTAGCATTTGTCTTTAATTGCTAATTGTTATAAATAATGAAATTAAAAAATGATAAAAAATAGAACTTGTAGAGGTTTCACTATGATTACCAAACTACATATAAAAAGAAAATAGAATGTTGTACCAGTACCATAATCATGTTGATTAAGAGCTGAAGGGGAGAACATTCAATCAGCGAGGTCATTGAGAAAATGAGGGCATATATACAACTCATAGCTCAGTATTCGTTACATTTTTTAGGCTATTTGACCCCATCCCATGTTTAGAAACAGGACAGGACAGTTGTCTCTGATTACAAGCCTCGGTTTATTGAGGTTAGGCAAGTGATGTACAGTTCCTGTCCTAGAGAATTGGGGTGTCTCCAACTATTCATTCCACATCTGCTTTTAACCTAATTGAGATGATCAGTAGCTTAAATAGACCAATTTAAAGGTTTTAAAAGGCAAGTGATAGTGCAGTGTCAGGCAAAATACATAAATACACCAAAAGACCACAGGACAGAGCTACATTGATGCATTCTTTCTTCCTCCAGATTGTATCTATTCACCTTCATCCTTCTAGTCTAGGTATTCCTTGTGACCCTCTCCATTAGTGCAATGCCTTAACTTTGTCTCAGTCTGCCATTGACTCTTTTTTATAGCTTTATTTGCTGGAGGAAGGAGGCTAACAGGTTGAGGAGGAGGGGTAGAGGCACTAGAGTTTTCCATGAACGTAAGAGAACAGAAAAATGTTCCGCTGCCACACTGCAATTAAAACCCAAAACTGTTTTCAGAACATCTGAAATTTAAACTTAATACATACTTGAGCCATGTCTATTTTTTTACTCTTTCATTTTTGGTGTCCAGGCCGAAGTAAAAAAAAGGAAAAGTGCCAGAAAACTGAACCATATCCTCTGGTTGAAGTGGAGCCTTGCCCTTGTGATAAGTTTCAGTCTCGGCCTTTCGGGAACTGGTCAGACTGCATCCTTGCTGACAGCAAGACAGAGTCTTTCCTAGGATGGAGCATCCACAGAGAGATTAAAGAGTGTGGCCAGGGGGTTCGCTACAGAGCCATTGTCTGTACGGACCAGGAGGACAGGCTTGTGGACCCCTTTCTGTGCAGCCCTTCAGGTAAGGCCATCCTCGTGTGTCTGTTATTCCACATGTCGCATTGAAGATTCAAGTTATCTGTTAAGGAATGCGGTCTAGAAGCGCACAATAAAAAGATCAGGTTTGTCAAGACTCTCACAGTTAGCTGGTGTAGTGCCTGTACCTCTTCAGTCTTGAACAGAGAAGATTATGAGGGGACATCATAAATCTGCTCCTGAAAAGCATTAACAACATAAGCCCAGTGTATTTGTTTCTGCTCTGCAGTTAAACAAGGACCAGAAAGCGCAGACAAATTGTGAGCAGGAGATTTAGGAGTGCAAATAGGAGGCACTTGTTCACAATGTGCTGTTAGTGTGAGGAACAAGCTACACAAACAGAATGTACTGCACATGTACAATTACAGGGTACATTGAGGAGTCCTGTCATATCCCCTGCCCATTTGACTGCAAGCTGAGTGACTGGTCAAGCTGGTCAGTCTGCAGCTCTCAGTGTGGGAGTGGGATCAAGATGCGGTCCAGATGGCTCAGAGAGAAGCCCTTCAGTGGTGGCCGGCCCTGTCCAAAACTGGATCTCAAGAATCAGGTGAGGTGTTCCAGGGAACCAATGACAACCTGAGAAACTAGAGCTTATGGCAACCCAACTTTGCCATAGTCTAATCCAGAGATTGTGAAGAAATATCCTGTCTGAGACATTTTCAGTAGCTCTAGTAGTCTACTCTCTACTTTGATCTGGAAAAAAAACAAAAAATAACATTAAATCTATTAGTTGTCCTTACATGTCTTGATTTAATCTTGTTACAAATCTGATTTAAATCAGGACACTGGAAAAAAGACATAACAATAGCAAAGCATAAAGCATTTTCAGTCGCACATTTTTCTTGTACTTGCAAATCCCTACTTGACATTAATACTTGTCAAATGAAACAGAGGAGGTTAATTCCACACTGAAAGGTTATAGTAAAGAAGAAATGTAAGTTTCAGCTGTAGAGCCTTTAGGTGTGTGGAGGAGATAGCAGAAATAGGAGGTAAAGAGTAGAGAAGACAAAATTAAAAGAGTAGAAATTATTTAATTAATGAGTAACTTGTTGACATGTTTAATGATCATTTTGGCTTCTGAAGTCTTTCTAATGTAGGTGTCTTTAAATCCTCCTAAGAGACAGTTAGAGAGGCATTGTAATCATGCTTAGTAGAGGTAAATGGAGAAGTATCATATCAGCTACATGAGATCTATGATCCTATGATCTATGATCCGCTCTGATATGTTTTCAGAAACAGTCAGACAGTCTTCTGCCTGTTGAGCCAGTATAAATGGCTGGGCATTACCTGCAACAGATGCAGTAAATGAGATGGCTGGACGAAAATGCTGCCCTTTGTGTGATCTTGAACTGGCCAGAGGGGCCATGTATATGTCTCTTAGAGAATATGTATATGGAGGTGATAAAGTGGCTTCTGTTGAAGAGCGTGGCTAGAGTGATGACTATGGTTAGCTGGTCGTACTTGTGTGCAGGATGGCTGGATGGTTATGTGTTCAGCAGTATGTCCACAGCACACTTGTTCTGACCCTTCTTCACTGGTATTTCTTTTTCCTCTTTATTGTTCTGTAGACTTACTTTTTTGTTTTTATTTAAAATGTGATGACAGTATATGGGCACAAATAATAAGCTGAATTTATGTTGTTAGCACTCAGAAAAACCGACAGCTTCGTCTTAGATTCTTACAGAATTGTGTAGTAGAAGGCAACGTTGGAGATTAAAGGCTTGGATCCCAGCAGAGGGGCTATTCGTTTAATCTACTGGATTGGGATTCCAAGTATTGGGAGCCTGTGGTGATTGAAAGATTTCTTTTGCTTTGGAAGCTGCTCAAATTGGAAGACTGAGCACCTTAAAGCCAGACAGGTACACAGGGACAGCTAAGCTATTAAACATGTGACAAAACTGAGGTCCTGTTAACAAGATGGTAGGCTAATTGATCTGTGCACCTTTTCAAAACCATATAATTAGCTGCCGGACCAATTGAATGGAATAAAGTAAACGAATGAATCAATACCCAAAGAATGTTCAAAATCCCACCTGAAAAAATAAAATTCCGGTATTCTGGTATATACCTGCAATGGGACATAAGCCATTTGAAAAATGTATCTCCTCACCCAAATTGCTTCCATTTAAACTTCATGGTTAATTAACTCCAAGTTATATAGTTAGAAATGCAAATGTATACCTGTCCTATAAACTCCACCAGTGTCTAGAATTATTTTTATAGTGTGTAGGAACTTGCTTTAAAGCCTCTAAAACTGCATTAAAATTTGATTTATTTGGCAGCAATTTTTGGGGGGTTGTTAATTTCAGTGCCTTAAATATGCTTGAATAGATTGTAAAGGATGTATTCCTTTAAGAGGTCAATCTGTAGATGTTGTGACAGACTGTGAAAATATTTAAATGTATTCTTATTTCATTATGTGTACAGATGGTTCAATGCCTGCTAGGTATCTTCATATGCCTCTGTTAAGCCTCTGCTTAACTGATATTTCATAGCCTGTCACATCAAAAGGATGAGCACCTCAGCAGGTTGTGATTGTGAATTTATACATTGCTCAGCCCTACTTTTAAACTGATGAAGTAGATCAATTATTTTGTTCCTGATTGTAGCATTATTTTTAGTAATCCTTCAGTTCCACATGATGAGAATGTACTGCATTCCTATTTGCATGTTAACTTTCACATGGACTCAATGTGACAGAAAATGTCAATGTCATGCCAGAGTGTGCCTTTATATTTGCTTGTTATGATGTTTTGTCTTCTGTAGCCTGATAGGGACCATGATGATCACGCAGGCTTTAGAGTAGTATTTAAAGTTAGAGAGGAGCACACTCTTCTTCATTACAGGTTTTTGCAAATATTTAACCCAGGTGTGTCAAACTGAATTCTTAGGTATACTGATGTTTGCAACCTGAGATGTCAATTAAGCAATTTTCCAGAATTATTACTTTGGGGTTAGAAATATTACATTTGTGCAGTTAGTTAAATAATAAGACCCATAATGTAAGTGAGTGCTCAGGTGGAACACTGGACAATATGCTCGTCCTTTCAGGAATTTAGTTTGATACCCCTGATTTAAACCACAGAATCTCATAAGTCAGGACTGTTTCCTATAGCATTGTAATTGGATGAAGAACTAAGTGATATTCATACCCCAAATCATTGCAGCTGCTTCTCTTAACTCCCACCCAAATGTTGAAGGGTGTTTAGTCCAATTATCATCTACAGTATCTAATCAGTCTATCGACTTGCTTTCTTCCACTTTCTGTCTTTGCTTTGAAGTAAGAGGATTATTGGAATCCTGGAGTTCCTGGAAAGACTTGAGGTTCCACAGAATGAGACATTTTGCCAGGGGTTCCTGGCGAAGTTAACTGTTTGATTTGCATGCTGTTATTGTCTTTGGCATCAGCAGTCAGATAATAAAGGTTGTGAAAATCACAGATGGTGGTAATAAATATGGTAATAATTGAAAGGAAACACTAATAAACATGATAATGAATCACAGCTATTGTTTAGTTCTTTGTTAAATGCACAGATGTAAAAAGGTGTGCTAGCCTCTGCCTTATAGTATGCTCAATCATATATGAATCAATTAATCTTTCCGAAAAACATAAATATAGTCATTAATTCTGTGTTTCTCCAAAATAGGCAAAGGAGTCTTCATTCTGGCAATATTATGCCCACTTTTGTTTTCCAACAGTAATGCTGGTAGTGGCATGCCGGAAGGCAATATTATTTGACTTAAAGCAGATGGATTGAGCTATACCTAATATTTTCTAAGTATCAGCTCAGATACTTATTATACCTTTGCATTGTACAGGCAAAGGATATGGATTGCCAGATTAAATGACTTTAGTTTACCAAGCAATTCCTAAGACTATGCTTCAGCATCATTTCTGCCAAAGAAGTGCCCATCACATACTTTATTCACTTGTCCCCATCAGGATGTATATTGACATGATGCAAAATCTGCATTTAACTTATTTCTGCACAGGGAATTAAAACCCTGGTTAGCAGAATGAAAGGGTCCCTTAACATTACATGTGTAAATGCATCCAGCTTTTTTTCAATTAATATCTGTGCCTGTTTGCCAGTCATGTCCACTCCCTCACAGTGTAACCTGGTCTATCTGCAAGCAGATCGCCTGTGCTTATACTGCTTCTTCTAAATCCCTCAGCCAGATGTTTCTGAAGCCTTTGTCACAGCTGCCTAAAACAGTTCTATAGATGTGGCAGAGATAAGATTTATATGGTAGTAGTTCAGGTGGGTAGCTGCGTCAGCATGCGTAGGCTGCAAAGGAACAAGTTATAGGTTTATTCCATGCTGAAAAAAAGGAGAAAGAGAACACAACGTTTCGGCCGTGGAGCCTTCTTCAGGTGACACCTGAAGAAGGCTCCACGGCCGAAACGTTGTGTTCTCTTTCTTCTTTTTTTCAGCATGGAATAAACCTATAACTTGTTCCCATAAGATTTATATGCTGCATTTAAAGTACGTTCTGCCAGAAACTGATCTTGTTTTTCTTTCTCCAGTCCCAGTAAGTGCACCATCTGATTGAAATCTACACAGAGCAACTGACAGATGAATGTGTCATGTCGCAAATTATACACTGAAGGGCCAGTGGGAGTTGGCTTGTATTTCTAATGTCTTTATAATAGTTGTGCTTATGCTAATACGTTAGCATAATGCTTCAAATCACAAGTACATTAAATATTTGGTGAAAATTGACTGTTCCTATGATTAAGGCTGTCTATCTAAACAATAATAATTACTTAGGGAAATTATTTTATTGTAATACTGCATACAGATTTTAATAATACTTGTTTCATATTTATGCTCAGATATTGAAATACACAAATGAATAATTATTATTCAATTCTGCTCATATAATTGTCTATGTCCAAAAAATTCAAAACCAGCTGATGGGCCATAAATTTCAATAAATGAATGAATGTCTGAATGAATGTGATGAGTCAATATTTTCCCCACCTGGAAAATTTAGAGGCAGCAATGAGCCTGTAAACTTTAAAAACACAAGCAGTGTGCATAAAAAAGCAAGAGTGAGAGAAACATTTTCTCCTCCAGTGATGCTATGTTTTTGGTCAAACTTTCATACTCTAAACATGAATTTCACTATCTCAACTCCATCATCGAGGGCTCATTTTAAGCAGTTATTTTGAGTGTGGTCTAACTAACAAGAGCTGAAAAGTCACATGAATGGAATATTTCTAATAAAAAAATTCTGAGGATTTGAATGCCTCTGCAGCAGTACCTAAAGCTGACAATCAGTATTGCATGTTTACTGTGCGCAGGCATTAAGAACCAACAGTCATCTCAGCAAAAGGAAAATGCTGAATTTACACATTAAAGTCTTTCATTTCAAGGATGTTTCCTCAAAAGGCCCTGCTTAAAATTGCTCACCCCTCTGAAGAAGAGCTGGAATGGTATTTATTTTATTTTTAATGATTGACCTAAAATAGGTACATAAATTAAAAACATTTATTCCAACTAATCTGCATTTTAACGGGAAACATAAATATTTTTACCAACA